GGGTGGGGGATATGGTGAGGCTTGTGGTGTTTGCTAGTGTCTGACTGTGACATAAAGTGGGGAAGGTACAAACTCCGGTCAGGACAAGGAATGAGTGCAGCAATAGAGAAGAAAAAAATTACTTATTTTTATGTAAAGTTATTTTATGGGATGAATATTTAGTTCCTTGTTATTTACAGTGTATTTAACATTTTTTTTCTGTAGGGGGTTATTTTCCTTCTCATAATTAGAATCATAATTTTCCCACTGTGTGCTGGGGAGAGAATTTATATGTAATCTCCCTGAGTGTAGAAAACTGTGATCATCTTTATCATTGCAGTTCCAGGAATCTTGCCACAGGACCCAGGTTATATTATACTTGTTCAAGTCAACTAAATTCCTGAATATTATCAAGCCCATATTAGAAGGAAAGATATTTTTTTAAAAAAATGATTTCTAAATTCTGAAACTTCTTACAAATCTGTCAGTCTTTAGCAATCCACATTATCAGAAAGATTGATGATTTGTTGCAAGGTCATCTTTTCTTGTTATATGTCTAGTGTTTATAAATGTTTTAATTATGGATATTTATGTAATATAAAGATTATTTGTAAAGATTTTTTTTCAGTAATTAAAAATAATATGTCAACTGGTTTTCTAACAAAGGTTATCTATGATAAAAATTACATGGATACTCATATGAAAATGAGACTTTATTTATAAATAGAATAATTTGACTTGTTACTTGTTGACATCAATCTATTAGACTTGTACAACCACATAAGTGGTCATATTCCTCCTACACACCCGTGCTCTCTTGTACCTCATGAAATAAAACTATATCCATTGGATCTATCCTGTGTCTTAAATACATTTTATTTTTATAATCATTATTATAACATCCCCTATGTTAGTAAAATTTAATTGGGATCCTGTCTTATGTATGGCAAGATAGTATGTTTATAATAACTTTAATAGTTAAAATATAGTTTTCATCTTACTGGACTTACTTTTAATTTTTATGTATCTAGCAAAAACCTAAGCAATCCAGAATTGGGTTTGAAAAAAGAGAAATAATGGAAAACAGTCATAACTTTGCCTTTAAAATATGACTGAAAAACATGGGTTAAAAACAATCCTTAAACCACCCACATATCGTTGGATTTTGAGAGGAGGCATCTTTAATACTTTTTCTTCCTGCAGTATTTGTTGCTTAAGGAAGTCTGTGGGTAGATAAGAGATTATTATCCCTCCTACACACCCGATTTCTTATTTACAACATTAAATCTCCATATATACAAGCACTTGGAACACTAATCCTTTTTGTTCAATCACTTTCTAAAATTCTTTGGAATTTGGTTGAAATTTTACCTTCCAATAGAACATTTTACAATTAATTATAGTTTATCCTGATTTATCTTTTAAAGCATGAGCATATCCAAAAAAGATACCTGAAGTAGATGCTTTTTTGACCAAATATTTTTCTTCGAAAACAGAATTCCATAAACTGTAAGTCTTATGTTGAAAACTAATAATGCAAAATTATTTCTTATATTACAAGTTTTCTGAAACACCAGGAGAAGAGCATAGACTCTGAAATGAGAAAAGCTACCCTTAATATTTGTATGCAGTGTTTTCTTCTTATTACTCTGCAAATTGCCCTTATGAATGAATGCACATCTGTAGATCATGTCAGAGACACAGTACACATGTATACTAATAAAGTTAACCAGTTGAAAATTTCATCTGAACGAACAGATCAATAGTTAAAGATTTTTAAACTCCTATAAAATGCATCCAAACAAGTTAACATAAATTTTATGAAACCTTTATATCCCTTTTATTTGCAATTAAAATGTTCCCTCAAATGCAATAAATGTCAGATATGCACTTGTGCACAAAGTCTAGGCTTAAGTTATTTAAAAAATAATCAAGTCTAATTTTCATTACTACCACAATATTTACTCATTTAAAAATATAGTACAATCAAAAAAGTAAAAATTGATGTATTTTAAAATAATTTCAGAATTTGGATGCTTAATAATATGATTTATGCTAGTCACACATAAAAATGTTTTCCAAGTAAATTTGTTCACTTCACTATTTGGATCAATGCACTCTATTTCGGAACTATGTTAACTTTTTGTTAAAATAAGAAATTGGAAAAATGACCACTAATCTTCCAAAATGCTTGCAAAGATGACCTAATTATTAACTAAACATAGTACTGAGAATATATTCTATAGGCACCAACCACTTAGAAAAAATTCTAGCTATAATTGAGATTAGCCAAACAAGCATAGGTTATTTAATCACTCCAGGGTAATTCAAAAGAAACTGATTCTGGACACTCTGATGACTTGGTTGTAGGCACTATATTAAAATACTGAGCCAGTATAGTATCTGTACAGTAGGATATATATATATATATATATATATATATATATATATATATATACATACATGTGTGTGTGTGCGCGCGCATGTGTGTGTGTGTGTGTATACACACACCAGGGATTGAAATCAGGGGCACTCAACCACTGAGCCACATTCCCAGCCCCCCTCTTTTTTTGGTATTTTATTTAGAGACAGGGTCTCACTGAGTTGTTTAGTGCCTCAATATTGCTTGAGGCTAACTTTGAACTCAAGATCCTCATGCGTTAGTCTTTGGAGCCGGTGGGATTACAGGCATGTGCCACCATGCCCAGCTCAACTATATTTTATGTACAACTCAAAAGTTATGTAAATTGTACTTTTGTATACCACTTTAATTGTAGCTATTAAGACTTTTGGCATCTTGTAATAAATATTTTAAATAAAATTAAAACCATTAGTATTCCAGAGCACAGTCACATGTAGATTAGGGGGAAAAAAAAAAGCAAATCGGTCAAAAATTAAAACATTTACCTCTAATTTTAAAAAGTTTGTTCAGCTAAGAATAAATACACATTACTAAAATTTTCAGAATCCTGATTATTTAAAAGATTTAACTCAGAATAAAATAGTTTTTGTGCTCTAGTTTTTTCTAAACATCTTAAGAAATTTTCATGTTTCTTTTTTTACTCTAAGTTACTACAAATCACCTAAAATCGAAAGGAATAGAAAAAATAAAAAGGAAAAGAAAACAGAAAAAAGTGGTTTCCACATGACGTATCACCCATATATTATGAAGTAAGTTATAAATGTCATACTCAAGAGATTAAAATTATTTCCTGAAAAATTCAGCCTTACTCAGATCACAAGACAACATAATGAACCAAAGATTTCAATATAAAACGCAACAAGGAAAAGTAAATTCGACTTCACTTTCATTTGCATGTACTAACAACAGTGAAAGAAAAACTAAAAACTAGTATCTGAAACAGAAACTATATCCTATCATTTAAAAACAATAAGAAATGATGCATGCTGTGATAGAAGACTCAATTTAACAGGAAGGAAAAGAAGATATCCTGTGTTCTGTGGATTTTTTTTTAAGATGCAAGAAAATGAACAAGGCTTGTTGGAGGAATAGTGGAACAGTTCAATCTCAACACAATATCTGCCAAATTAGATAGTCTACACATAAAACTAAATGGCTTGAAGGTATACAGAATTCTGCATAAAAATTACTTCCTTACAAAAGCAACATTTTAAAAATTAAATGATTTCTTAATATTCCAGTGATGAAACATCTACTTGAGGAAATGTTTTTTTTTTTTTTCCTTTTCTTTTTCTTTAATATTTAATTTGTTCTCTAAGGTCATCCTTTCAAAGCCTCTAAGGAAGCTTCCTTGAGAATAGCATATTAATCAACCAGACTGGGGCTGGGGGTCAACTTAATTTCTTGAAGTAGAGAAAGACTGTCCAAAACTCAAGTGACTGTCCAATATCATGTGATGCTGAAATGCAGTCCATGCTTGAGTCTTGACTCCTGTTCAGTTTTAATCTTTATGGGGGCAGGGAATATGCTCCAATATGCTGCTCTAATTGTGTTCCCTAAGTGTAGTTTATTTGAATTAGTAAAGCCTTTTACTAATAAGTTACATGAGGCAACTTGAAAAATCTTCAAAGTTTCTCAAACTAAATAACTGTGCATTAAAAATCTGCTTTTCCTAAATCCACAGTCTTCTTCAAACTATGCATTTAAGACGTAACTCAAAATCATACATTTAATTATTTTACAAAATTTAAGAAGCCCTTGAGATATTTATATTTTTATTAATGGTTTGTTATTAATCTTGAAATTATATCTAGGTTTTTGTTTTGGTTTATGCACATAAAAGTAGAATTTCACCTGGCCTTCATTTGGAAAAGCACTTGAGACATTTAGAATGAGTTAGCATTAGAATCTTCATTTGGTTCTAAGTACATTAGATCCAAATTTTAAATTTTCTACCTTTCTCTTACATATTCCTACAAGCAAAATTAAATAAAAAAATATTTATCATATTTTTATGGAAAAGAATTATATTTTCATGTAACCAATAAAGCAAAGATAATGTCTTGCTTTCATTGATTTAAATTTGTTTGACATTTTTTTTCTATTATGAATGAAAGTTCTTTTAATTTCAAACTACAAATTTGGTAATTAAGACATTGACTATATGAAAATTATATGTGTGTTAATATTAGTACATTGGCATTGAAGGAAGTATTACGTATTTTTTTATTAAGTGTTATGTACTTTAAAAATGCAAATTAAATGATTTCCTCATGAAATCTTTTTGTCCTCACATATATGCATGAAAACTTTATTTTTTTTAGGAAGTTTTGACATTCTGAGTCTGTCTCAAGGACAGCTTACTCACACACAAGTAAATGAACAAAAAAGATGAAATGGAGATAGTATATGATTGACAAATAGACTAATTTGCATGGTAGATACATTTTCTTAGCAAGGAGAATGATTTTTGTTTTCTCTTTTCCTAAAACAAAAAATGTAAATTTATCTGAGACATTTGTAATAGAATATACATAAGAAAATATCCATAATAATATCCACTTGAGTTTTTAAGTATAGAAAAATAGCTACATCCTACCTCCATCTCCAGATCCTGATCCTGCATCTGGGAGGAGAAAACAAAACAAACAAACAAACAAAAAAAACAGAATTTTTATTAACTGGAAAAAATATTTAAAAATTTGACATTTCAAAGTTCAAGTTTACTTTCTTAATCTAAACCTGTAATATCATTGTGAAAATTACTGATAATTAATCTGATAATGTATAGTCACACCTATTTGTCAATTACTACTAACATAATACATAAAATTAGTTTCCTGTCACTTTTGTTCTTAAAGTTTATGAAAAAAAATTATCCACCTTTAGGAAAATTCCTAAACTTAACTGTACAAAATTCCTCAGATTTTTATTTTAATCAGGCTAAATTTGAAAACTTTAGCAACATAAAAATTAAAAATGAATGGCTTTAACAATAAGTTTTCAAAATTAAACAGTCCAAAAAACTAAGTGTTTAAAAACTAAACAAATAGTAAATAAACTCATAGGTAAGGCTTATATTCTTGCAAATTTCACATGACCAAAGAGAAAACGTTTAAAGATAAAATTTTTATACAATTGATAATGTTTAACAAATACCACAATTGTTGATACTTTTATCTACAACTAAATTGTACTTTGTTTTTGAAATAAAGAAAGGAATAAACTTAACTTGCATCTTTGGGTTTAAAATTGGGTATATATTAAGTGATATTGGAAGAAAAAAAATCATCCCCTTCTGAATTTCTCTTTCTCTACTTCTCTTCCCACTCTTCCACATGACTAAAATTGACCAAAGTTGTCTGAGAACTCAGAAATACCCAGTTTTCTAGTTTCAGTCAAGACCACTGAGTTTCCACTTGCTTTTACTTATCACATGTAGACATCACCTTCCCTCTGCATCCTAACTTCTTCACATTCTAAATACATTGAATTTTGTATTTGTACAGTTAGTAATAGGAGTATGATTAACATTGAAATCCTCTGTCTGATGTGCCATCATCCCACATTGAAATCTCAACCTGGATTCAAGACTTATATCCAATGTTACTTCTATGAATTTTTACTTGATGTTTTAGTTATATTGAAATAAAACTTCTATTTGTCTGCCTCCATGACATAGTATTGAGAGACACTACAGAGAAAGTATCATGGTGAATGAAAAATCCAAAGAAAGTTGACAAATGGAAGAACACATGCCTCCCCAATAGTCCTCCATGTTACAGCATTAAAACTTCCCTGAAGGAGCAGCAGTGAAATTGTTAGACTTAGTGGAGACTCACTTTAAGTAAATTCACAGGTTCTGAGACTGTATTACATCAAAATGTTGATTTATTAGACATTTGCTAATGTGATGACATATATCTTTCCTTAAAGGCAAGCTAATTTGTGAAATCAATTTATAATAAAAATATTTCTTGTAAATATAGAACCATACAAATACTTTAATCATGTTTACATAATATAATGATAACAGATCAAGAAAAACTAATGCATTCATCTCCATCATTGGAGAATATTCTTGCCAACTGGACTGATAATCATAAGTCTCAACATCATTCCTTTTGGATAAATAGTTGCACAAATAGTCCATATTTGCTAAATTTCCTTTTAGTATTCTTTCACAGATAAAATTTATTGACTTTATTTGAATTAATTTAGAAATTTATTTCCATATTATTTGTATTTATCAGGAATGAAATCACAAGTTATAGTATTATAGTGCTAATACATCTACTATATTTAAGTTGAATGTATACTTTGTCATTTTCTATTAAAATCATAAACTTGTGTACATCCAGGCAATGTATTATGAGCCATTCTTCTATACTTACATGCACATAAGAGAAAATGCCCAAAAGCTTATGGGTTCCCAGCTCTAAACATCACTCAAGGAATGACATAGGAATGTTATTTAGATTTCCTAAGCTATTGTTCTATTTAATGGGCATAATGATACCTATCTCATTGGACTATTTTGAGACTAACTGTAAAATAGCTTATTTTAAATGTTTAAGCACAGTCTGGAACATAATAATATGTTGAATAAACATCTTGCATATTCATTGATAGGTTTTCTAAAAAACGTGGCTGTGGGAACTCAGAAAAAAAGTGGCGGTAGTATTATGGCTTGTGTTTTCCATATATGTTTCTAAATATTCAAGGGACATGGTCCTTAAGACATTTCATGTTTGATTTGACTCCAGATACAGAGCTGGGGGAAAAAACAGGAAAAGACTGGGACAATGAACCCATTCAGTCCATGGCATCATTAGAAAATAGGGGAAACTTTAATGTTTTTTCAATTATAAGATGAGTCATCTTGGCAAACCAGAGATCAGCAGCCTACTAAGGACTTATGAGGATGACAGAATACCTATGAAAATATATTATGTTACTGGATCTGAATCTGGGCTCCTAGTTAATGCATTTCCCACAAGGCAAAAAGTTAAAGTGACAGTGAGACCATGAGGAAACTGCCCAGTAGAAAAAAAAATATTTTGTGGACAAAAAAAATATATATCTAAGTTCAATGAAATAAAATTAACATAAAATTATATATTCTGTGACCTTATTATTCCTAAAGATCACAATTTGCCACTTTCAGTCAGTGTCAAACAGTCATAAAAAAATGGAAAATCTATGAAGAAAAAAGCATGTAAAACTCTTTCAGATAAAAAGATTCTGATCTTCAACTTATTTACAGCTAAACCTGTTTAATTGAAATTATTTTGGTATTTGCCTCATCTCTCAAATCAAAAACATTTTTGATTTGCTAGTCAGAGGAAAATGCATTCAGCAGAACTAGCTTACTAATTGAATCCTGTGGAATCTAAGTGTGTGAATGAGCTCAGGACAGCTTACTCAATTGTGATTACATTTTCAACTTGGCTAAGTGTTTATTTCCATAGTATCATCCAGCACATCAGGGACTAGAATGAAAAGACTTGAATGAATCAGGAGAATGTGATTGTGTGCACTCCTAAGAGGCTGGCAAGTCAGAAAGACAGGTCTTAGCTAACAAATGTAATTTGCCACAACCTTAATTTCTGGTCTATTGTTAGACTATTGCCTCATTTGAGGAGCAAATCCTTTCCTCAATATTCTGGGACTTTTCTATACTTTTCCTGGTTTCTGGAAGACTAAGTTTCTTTCTTTCTTTCTTTTTTTTTTTTAATTCCATTTGGCCTAAACTGTTATTTTTCATTTTTTGTTCCTTTAGTATGGCTGACTGAATTTTCACACAATTAGTTTGCTTCTTGCCTTTCTTTCTGTTTTTCCCACCTCTATTATGAGAGCAACAGGGGTGTCTCCTTCGCTCCCCACTGTACTTGGGAAGCCCATGAAACTTATGCATTGCTGTCACTTTTATTTGTTACTATTCACTCAAGACCAAGGGTGCGCTAGCAATAAAAAACAGCAAAGCACCCGTCCACACTGCCTCGTGATGCTTATTCAGAAAGGGCATTCACATCTAGAGGCATAGGGGCCTAGAATCATTTAGGAGAAAAGACTACTTAACAACCAAAACCAAATCCAAAAGCCTGCATATCACTGTGAGAAATAGCACCAACTCTCTTCTGTTCAGTGTGAGAAACCTTGGTGGTCATGAGTACATCTCAGAATATTATTAACCATTAACAATCAATAGACAGAAGACAATCTAAGGAATACGAGACTTTTCTCCTTGTTCCTTTTCCACTCTTTCCCAGACACCAAACACACATCCTTTAACCTAATGTGCTAAACAGAAATAACTGCTATCTCAGAGGAAATTTTCAATAAAATAGGTCTATCTCAAAACCATTTTCTATTTATACCATTGAAAAAAGTTCATTTTATATCATTATTATTTTTCCTCAATAAATTTACATAAGTCAAATTCTCAGAAATTATGACTTTCCAGAAAGATCCCCATTTGCCATTAAGGATGACTCTTACAAGACACGGAAGTTTCTTTAATACAAGTACCAATGATAAAATCTAACCTAAAGACTCAGCTCGATTTTAAAGAATAGTTTTGTTAAGCTGGGCTTGTACCCCTCTTGTTTTTTCTGCTGTAATGCTGTTAAGCTTTAACAACCACTGCACAAAAGGAAAACACGGAAAGCTAATGAGCATGTGATGTCACTCTCCCCCTTTATTCATATCATCCTTGGTATAACAGCTAAAAAGCTTCATAAAATTCCAAGTTAACTGTCAGAAAAGACAGATGTCATTATCAATTATATCTACTACCAATACATTCTTCAATATAATCTGCTAAATGGTAAGAAGAGCATTTTGTTGAGCTGCTAATGTTAGGTATTAACTTCAGAACTTAAACCTTCAAAGATGCCCTCCAGGACATAGCTATATTTATCTAAACAAACAAAGTTTATGCATGCATAGATAGATTTCTACATATTTGGTACCTGAGCAGTCAATCAAGATTTCCACTTATACATATTAAACTATCAGTACCTTATTCAATAACATATTATTTAATTCTGCCAATGTTCTTATGATGCAATTTCTTTTTTGTTCAGAGTGATTAAAATGTAAAAAGACAATAAGAATAGTGCAATATTTTGTACCAAAGAATAAGTGGCTTGTCTAGTTAATATGGAGTCTGAATTATTTATTTGAAGACAATAGGAAACACAAGACATGATTTTTGGATTCAGAATCCATAAGAAGGTCTCAGGGAGGGTCACATACATACCTGTGGCACAGGATCCTTCTGACACCACAAGTATCTCACTCTGCTGTTTGCACGCAGCCTGCCGCAGGTAACACTCATTCTGGTAGCTCTCCCCATTGGAGCCACACACAGGCACATAGTCGCTGTTGCACTGGAGAACAGATGGAAGCTAATGTTTAGTACTAGAGTCAGCATCCCTCTGAAACCCTGAACAGAAATAACAACTTACAAAACAAACCATTGTCTTCAGTTTCAGTGATGCCATTTTATCCTATAAGTCTTTAATCTTGTGAGTGCATCTCTTAAAGTTACACAAAGGCTGTGTCAAATCAGCCAAACAGTGATTTTATTTAGAGTGGAGTAACAAGATGTATCTAAATTGATCAGTTGATCAAAAACAAAGTGACTGAATCAGTTGCATGCAAAACATAAAACAACAAATGTACCCGTGCTATTTAATATTGTTTTTCTGATATACAGCCCACGTGACTTGGAAGAAAAAAAATCAAAACAATATAATATTTTAGATGTTGAAAACAAGGTAATGCTTATCTGTGTGGGGAGCAGAAGGATGTAGCTAAGATACTAAAAATGTTCTTGTTTTTTTTTTTCCTATTGAATTTTAATCATTGCAAATTTCTGAATACTCAGATGAGATACTGACTTATTAGTTCATTTTATGTAACTTTCCAGCATTAGATATTGCTGTTGATATAGTCTAGCAACAGACTAAGGATTGCAGAGAAAAAAAATTCAAGAAATCTGAACTATATGTAAACTTTAGTGACAATTCCAAAGCATGCCTATTAATATATATTTCAGAAAGAGAGAAGTTAATTTTTAAAAACAACCTCATTGCCAAAAAGTACACATTTTTACAAGGGAAATTAGGCAACCTACCGGGTATAGTCATCATAATATAATCACACTCCAAGGCATTAGAGATACTTGGCTGTGTCCTATACCTGCTAATTACACCAGGGATGTGATTATCTCATGATTACTACTACTGATGCACTTCATTGTTTAATTATAACAAATGTAATGATCAAGATGATTATTTATAAATGCTTACCTATGCCAGAAACTAAGGAAGGAAAATCATGCATAGATTCATGCAAAAACACTTTTCTCTTTTCTATTTTTAATTGTATTTGGACTGTTAATGTGCTGTAAATGTACAATACATACAAAATAAATCAACGATTTAGTGAGGTCACTAAGAAGGTTTTCATATATATGTGATTCTAAACCTAAAACTCTATAATAAGTAAACATAGACTATAATAATTAAACATAGGATTTATGCACACAAATGAACTCTTAATAAGGTGAGAATCCAATTGATAAAAACCTGAGATGCATTTATGCTCTAATTTCTCATCATGTCTATCGCTCTTATTCCCAATCAAGTCTTGCTCTTTGCCTTTATGTAAAATAGCTTAGTCATCCTGACAAATTTATAAATGGTATAAATCAATGTTCTCTAAAATGAAAGTCTTATGAGTCTTCCTTTTTAATCACTGAATAACTTAAATATTATATTTTGCTAACTATGATCTACTTTCCTCTATACAGTAAATCCAAATTGTATAGCAATAACTGTTAACAGGAAGATTTTGTACATATTTTAGAAATCTTCTTCATCTTTCTATGATTTATAATTGTAGGCACTCTGAAAACCTTCTATGTAATAATTCCTTTCCACAGTTATACCTTTCATTTCCAGACACTGTTTATTTATGTCATTAGATTTTATAAACACTAATTTGATTAAAACTTTCTGCTGATCTTTCATTAATTTTTAGGGCAATGAGCAATTTACTTCTGATTGGATGA